TCCATCCTCATAGTAACTTGCATTATTATGTTGAAAAGTCATCTTTTATCATAATAGAGACTTGGTATGATAGGAAGGCAAATTCTAACCTTTATGTGAACTTATTTTGATATGTGCAAACTATAGTCTCTAATGTCATTTATGCCATATTGTATCAAATGAAAATTGCCAAGAAAAAGTTGTATTTTCTTTATGTACTAAATTGATAATGATGATTGATGAAATTATGAGAATGTATTGAATTTATTGTGATAGGGGGCTTGAAAAATGTCAACTTAGGTTCAAGGTTCAACCTTGAGCCTTGAGGGGTACAAAGGCATAAATATGTACAACTTAAGAAGTTATTGCATCACTCACATGAGAAGGAAATTCATTCCACGAATAATGAAGAAAGCACACAATTTTTTATGAGAACCTAATAACAGTTGCTGTGAATATATTGAATGCAATATTGTAATACCCTCAATTATTTTCTTATCCTCATCCTTTTCATTGTCTCCCTTGCAGTGTGCCAAGACCCTTGGGTGTTGGCCTTTGGTCGGCCTCTGTAGCCTATTCCAAAACTAAAGGTCTTTTTCTTTGCAATTTTTTTTACTCTTAGTCTAACTTTCCCATAATCTTACATTTTGAGGTTATTTTGATTTGTTGGGTTTCAAAAATTGTTGTTTTGTTTTGTTTTGCTGAAGGTGAACACACAATAGATTGGTTTCTCTTTGCAGAAATCATTGTTGCAATCAAAAGACATAGGACTATGTTAAGTTGACTTGAATTGGTTCTCTTGACTCAACTTCAACACACACTTTTTTTTTTTTTTGACAAAGATAACGGTTAAATTAGTAAGATTAGTATTGTTTGTGAAAGATATTGAACTTAAATTAAGGGTGCAATTCACCGACTGCCCTTTTAAGCAGCAGTGACCACTATCAGGGCACAACGGAGAATGCTTCAACACACTCTTTTGGTTGCACTTACATGTAAACCCACGTGCTTCCATGTGAGGCCACACTAATCAACGGTTTTGATCCTTTTCACGTTGCCATTCAATGGCTAGGATCTCAACACTTGTAGCATAAAGATTGATAGGGAGAAAGGGAGTTAAAATTACTTTTATTTTTCTCTTTTCTTAGTGTCTCCTTAATATCAAAAAGACATGAACTAGATTGCATTGCAAAAGTAGAGTCATTTTAGAATCATCAGTCATGTCATATCAACTTTTAACAAATAGTTTATTTTGAAGATAAGCAAATATTTTTGGATGCTCAGTTTGAAAATTTTGAGACTAATATTTGTTTTAAAAAATTCCTTTTATAAAAAATATCCTCAATCAGTGATAATCTTAAAACTCTATAGTTGGTCATTAGAAATAAAAATGTCAAATCATAAGGTTGTTCAAATAAATGAAGATATTTATTCAAGTTTGTCTACGTTTGAACTACATCCCCAACTAGACAATAATTAGCAGAGAAGTTTGGTGGGAAGTTTTGAAACCTAATCCAATTGGATATATGTTGGCTAACAAAACAACTCAACAGTAGTCAATAGTGTCATTCTTTAAAAAAAAAAAAAAACATTTTTTTTGGTAAATAAATTTTTGATACTTAGTAAACCTTAGTATTTTTGTTTGAAATTTAAATTTCCATTCAAGTTTTATTTTTTATTTTTTATGTTGGGATTGAAATGACATGCAAAATCTTCATTACTCATAATGAGATTCATAACCAGAAAACTGCTTAGGTTTTGTTCAATGGTTAATTAAACAAATTTAAGAATCCCTAAGTGGCTTGACCATAAAAAAAAAAAAAGAAAAGAAAAGAAAAAGAAAGAAAGAATCATTAGGAGTGTGGACTATGTACCTCATAAAATGCTTCATGTCTACTGGTAGTACTTTAGGCTACATTTCATAATGCAAATTTAAAAATTGATGGGATTTTTTAATACTTACTTAAAAGAATGGTGGTACATGTAGATGCAGTTAATGAGTTTTTTTTTTTTTTTTCTCAATACTAATTTAAGTTGGACAGATGGACATTTGACATAATATGAGCATGCCAGTCTTTGTGCTTTGAGACTTGTATTAAATTTGGCCAAAGGCAATGGTCCTCTTAAGATTAGTGTTTTTGGAATGAAGGGAATATATAGAATATCTCAAAAGGAACACCAATAAACATTTGTTTAACATGCACAAATTCAAGTATTTTTTTGGGACCTAAGATGTCTTTTTAAATTCATGAATCATTTTTCATGATATGTTCCTTTGTGTATAAAAAGCATATCATAATTATTATAATGTGACCAACAGTATACAATTTAATAATAATCTTTTCTTTAATTAGAATAAAAAATTTTAAATTGAAGTTATAAAAATATAAATAAAATAAATAAAGAAATAAGACAATATTATCTCTTTTGATACAATTAAGATGAGTTGGTATTGTCTATGATTCTCTGCAACTAAATTACAAAGAAGAAACCAAGTTGGGTTGAAATATGGAACTTTTGACCTATAAAGGGCGCTAATTACAGTAGGAAATAGGGGGGGGGGGTCAAAATGCTTTGATTTCTTTGTCTCTATTTTTTTATTCTTTTATTTTTGGGTATTAGACTCTATTAAACCCATGTGATATAAATTTATATTGTACCTTTTTATTTAGAATCTCAGGCATATCTATCTAAGTTGACTTAATTGTCATTGCTTGTAAGAAAATTAAATGTAGCAAAAGAGCTACTACTAGATTTTCTCCTTTGATTTTAAAAATCAAATGGGACAGAATCAAGCAGCTGCTCAGATATTATTCTGATTTACTATAGGAAAATTTCTTGAGGATTTTATCACCTTAACTTAAAAAAGAAAAGAAAGAAAAAGAAAAGAAAAACTGATTTTACATTTCATTTTCAAATTACATTTTGATTGGGCCAAAACAATATTTGAAACTTGAGAAAAAAATTAAAGCCCATTTTAGCCCACCGAATTAATGGCCCTTGATTTTCTGGTGTGTTATATTGCCGAAGCCCGTAATTACGAGCCCATGAAATGGACACATAGAGTTCCTAGACTTTTTTTTTTTACTAGTTTTTAAGAAAGAGAGAATTAGAACACTAATAACATTTAAAATATTAAGATTTTATGTGAGATTTACTTCATATTTATATGAAATTGTATAAATGCACTTTTATTTTTTTTAAATATATTAATTATTAAGAATACCTTAATATTTTCATTTATCATTTCTAGCTTTTAATTACCTGACCTCATGATTTTCCTCCATTGCTATATTTTTGTGGGTTTTATTTTATTTTATTTTTTTAATCTTGGATTATTCAATGAAAGTCAACTATCTCCTAGCCTTTAACTTACCTCTACTCGCATATCATATAA